ACACACACAACAACACACACACACCACCAGACCGGCCCCACCCCAATGTGTATCATGCGCATCAGGACATGTTTAAAAGCAAATATCGTAAGTGTTTTGAAATATACATGCTCATTGATGACTATAAGAGCAAACGTGTCAAGGCCTGCCTTGGCCTTCTTCTGTATAATGCTCTTTAATAAAACACACCAACCAGGAAAGACTCAAAACGTCTACATAAGAAACATGAATACTACTACAGAACACAAGACCACAAAGACACATAAAAACGACTAAAGGTGGGGACTCACAACACAACAACACAAAGAGGCTAAACAACTATAGATCTGTTGCTTGCTCCTATAGGAGGAGAGAATGTTAGCCGATGTGGAAAAGAGTAATTATAGTTTAACGGCGTAATTGTACTGACATTGATTACTTGTTACTTTCCTTTCTTATTGTATCTTTCTCGCCCCTGTTTTAGCGCCTTCCTATGTTCCTTATTTTTTCCGAAGGTATACGCAATAAGATTTAGAGGACACTTGGGCAAACTGTGTCAGGCCTAAGAGTCCTCCTCCTGCTATGTTCAGTGTCATATCAGTATGTAGTGCTCTACTTTAAAGAGCCTCTCCTGCTGATGTCAGGGTATAATCAATACTTAGTGTCCGTACTTTAAAGAGTCCCTCCTCGCTGATGTTCACGGTTGTCTTCAGCATTATTATCACTTTAAAAGAGTCCCTCCCTGCGATGTTCTGGGTTACTACAGACATGTATTGGTTCACACTTTAAAGAGCCTTTCCTGCTGATGTTCAGGTGGATATCAGAGAGGTGCTCACTTTACAAAGAGTCCTCTCCATGCTGATGTTCAGGTGTATATCAATATTAGTGGTCTCTACTAAAGAGTGCCTCTCTGCTGATGTTGCAGGTGTATATCAAAGGATTAGTGTCTCTACTTTAAGAGTCCGCTCCTGCTGAGTTCAGTGTATACAGATGAGGTCTCACTTTTTTAAAGGAGTCGCCTCCCTGCTGATGTTCGGTGTAATCAGTATTATTGTGTCGACTTTTTTAAAGAGTCCCTTTCCTCCTGCCTGGATGTCAGGTGTCATATCAGTATGCAGTGCTCATATTTGTAAAGAAGTCCCTCCTGCCTGATGTCAGGTGTATATTCAATATGTAAGGTTCTCTACTTTAAAAGAGTCCCTCCTGGGCTGATGGTTCAGGTGTATACCAGGCATGTAGTGTCTCTACTTAAAAGAGTCCTCTCCTGCTGATGTTCTGGTGTATATCAGTATGTATTGTCACTTTAAAGAGTCCCTTTCCTGCTGATGTCAGGTGTATATCAGTATGTATGTCTCTACTTTAAAAGAGGCCTATCCTGGCCCTGATGTTCAGTGGTATCATCAGTATGTATGTCCTCTACTTAAAGAGCTCTACTGCTGATGTTCAGGTGTAAATATCATATGTAGTCGTCTCTACCTCTTAAAGAGTCCTCCCCTGCTGATGTTCAGGTGTATATCAAGTATGTAGTGTCTCTAACTTAAAGTCCTCTCCCTGCTGATGTCAGGTGTATATCGCATGTAGTCTCTATCTTAAAGAGTCCTCTCCTGCTGATGTTCAGGTGTATATCAGTATGTAGTGTCTCTACTTAAAGAGTTCTCCGCGATTTCAGGTGATATCAGTAGTTGTCTCTACTTTAAAGAGTCTCTCCTGCTGATGTCCAGGTGTATATCCAGTATGTTAGTCCTACTTTAAAGAGTCCTCTCCGCTACTGTCAGGTGTATATCAGTATGGTATGTCTCCTACTTTAAAGAGTCCTCTCCTGGCTGATGTTCAGCGTGGTATACATATGTATTCTCTACTTAAAGAGTCCTCTCCTGCTGATGTTCAGGTGTAAATCATTATGTAGTGTACTCTACTTAAAGAAGTCCTCTCCTGCTGAAGTTCAGGTGTAAGCAGATGTGTTCTCTACAGTCCATGCTTTAATGTCAAAAACCTTATTTTCACATACCGTCTGTGCTGCAGCACCTCTTTTCACGCCTCTGTCTGAAACCAAAGAGCCCAGCTGCTCTGATTGGTTAGCGGCCAGCTCTGTGTATTGGTCAACTGCCTTAGAGATGTCCCGCCCTTAGCCTCTCACCGACAATGGTGTGGCGCTATCCAATAGCAGCGCGACGAACATATGATGTAAGCTATATAACACAATACAGGAAAGGGAACACACTTAAAAGCAATCTAGGACTCCTTTAAATAAAAAATAAAAACATATTGTTAATACAAAGAAACCAGATCATCCTCTCTTTGACTTCGAACCACAGCGCTGTCTCCTCGGAGCTCAGGTGGGAGTGAAACAGGACGGCCTTCAGAAACCATTCCTTTCCTGAACGCAGACGTTATTGTTAGAGTCGGCCTTTTAAACACTGTCCTGCACTTAAAGCAACAGTCCAAAACAAATGTGCTCACACGAGAGACCTTCTAATGCCATAATAACAGAAATGCGTAAGCACACAACTAATGTGGTAATAATACTAATGTACGAGCAACCAGGGAGTGTTTAGAGGAGAAGGCGAAAGCTAGTCATCTTGAGTTAATCAAACATTCATTAGACTCGCACACCCTCCTGCTCAGAGCCCCCTCAGGTGTGAAATGTCACGTCTACAAACAGTTGCGTGTTTGGTACGCAGCAAGAGCCATGATAAAAAGACAGTTAAACCCATGAGGAATACTATAAGCTACAAAAGATCCGTGAAAAAAATCAGTAAGAGACAAAAATATAACAAAGAGCATCACAAGAAGAGCAGAACCAACATAGTGTAAGACAGCTAATCAAACAACAATGACTATAACAAAGGTCCAAAATGAGTAAAGATACTGCTGAATATTGCAGTCACAAATAGCTACGAAAAACCTACAAAGATTTGCAAGATGACCACAAAGCGAAACATTCAATGACTATCAGAGAGACAGAATTACCAACAAATGCCTCTTTATAATAAACAAATCAAAGACTCCATTGTACGTCTAAAGCCGCACACCAAGCTGAACACCAGGAACTGACACAGACGGACCCCCGACGAGTGTCGCCCTCACGCTCCTGCGTCTTGTCCAAAGTCCGCACTGAACACAGCCGCAGAAGACTTCCAGCCGTGCGAACGTGCACATGCGTGAATGCAATAACTCTCTCTCACCCAGGCGGCGGTAGTGTGTTCGTCATTCCAAAAGAGCAACAACCTGAAAGGACAGACTGCGTGATACACGAGAGAAAAGAACAGACCTTGATACACCGAGAGAAAAAACAACCTGCGGAATAAACAAACAACAAATAGCGTGAACGTCCATTTTCACTCCCATCGACGCCAAAATCGGCTTGGTGTGAACCGGGCCTTAAAACTCAGAAACAGAACCACAAATATTCTCAATAAGGCCCCTAAACATTTATCATTACGACTATAACCCATGAAGGAGCCTTTTAACCTCCTCAGCACGTCCAGGGACCTAAAACCATAATAATCAGGACCCACTACGTTTAAAGAATATGGAAAACCATGAAGAAACCATTTTGAAGTACTCAAAGACAGAGGCCTTTCTCAATCTCAAGAGGAAACTGCTTACCAAGCCATGATTGCAAGGGGAGCTACGTATCGAGTGCCGCCGAAGGACTGTAACAATCTCCAGCCATACTTGGAATCCACCGATGGCTCCACCTCCCTGGTTTGGGGTAATTTTGAGGCTGCACATGGGTAGACTTCCGCGTCCTTAAAAATCCCACAATGCTTTGCGCACGGACCAATTTTCCTCCAAATCTTGTGGGGGCGGAAAATGTAGAGGTGGCCTCTCCATATGTGACCACACCTGCACACTTGCAGCCGTTCCACTCTTCTTTCCGAATGCCAGAAAGTATTCTGCTCGCTTCTGAACGGAAGTGACTTGAAACGTTTGCTACAAGCAGCTCTTGCGAGTTGAGAAACGCCAAAAGAGGCAAGATATATTCTTTTTTCTGATCAGGTGTCATTTTCGTTCTAAGGATTGAGTTTCCATTTTGTTATTTGCATTTCTTAGGCTGCACCGTGACTCTGTACGGTCTGAACACAGCTTTGGTTCAGTCTCAAGTGTTGGGGATTTCCTCCCAAAAACACATGGAAACCTGCTCGACAGGAAGTGATTCACAGGAAGCAGCGCACAGTTCTTGTTTCATAACGCTCAATAGGAGAGAAAACCAGTTTGCAATGTATGCCTGACCTGCAGATTCCCTCCTCTTACAAAGCTACTGTTGAGAACTTTATTTAAAGGTCACCTATCATGCTATTCTTAGGCAATAGCATAGGTCTCAGATATATACAAATATATTAAAAACATGTCTATGAAGTGTTTTGCTCAAAATACCAAACAGATCAACCATTCTAGCCACGCCTCATATCCCTCTATTTCACTTCCTGTTTCTAAAGTGCTGGTTTTGGGTATGAAGCTTTAAAAAAAATAAAAAATAATTGATATTAAAAAAAAAAGGAGGGGGCTGAACTCATGCGGGACCCGGCAGCTATTGTCTAAACTAAATACTGCTGTGATGAAACACCATATCATGGATTATCAAGGATTATTTCTGAAACAGTATGGAGCTCAAAGGCTTTCTCTCTTGCCGGTTATACCACAAGGTGAGTTCCTTTCTATTTCCTGCTTCTTCACACACATGCTCTCCAGTACAGGTTAGCTCTGAGTGTTAGCGATGCTAATGTAAACACCGACCATATTACGTCCAAAACAGTCGGGCATTGTTTCTGATAGCAACGTTTCTGATAGGGCCGTGGGTCCACATTTCAGATATTACGTCATATCGGACGCAAATCTGGATCAGCTCCGTTGTTCCCCCGTTTTTAGAGATTTGGGTACGGAGGAAAAGAGAGAGGGTTTTATTTTCTGACGCTGCGTGAGTTCCCCGACACACCGGGGACACATCTTTATGTATAAAAGACATCAAAAAGTGCATTTTGCTTGATAGGTCCCCTTTAAGTTCACAGCTAATTGTTGTCGTATATTATATTTCCTTTTTTATTTTGTAATAGTAATTTTCATCAATTTACTTCTTATTTAAAATTTAAAATTATCTTACTGTGTATTTATACACCTTAGCAAATGACTTGTACTACACATTTATAAACCTGTGATTCTGATCTTTGAAAAAGTGAAAGTCAGCTTGTTTTTAAATGGAAAATGTAAAACAAGCTTCACTGTGTCGTTTGTATTTATATATTTCTTTATTGTCTCTCAGGTTACCTCTGTCCATAGTGGAGAGCTCGCAGTTTCTGGGGATTTGTGCACTACCAGGTAAAGTCCAACTATATATAACTTTATATATACAACTTGTTTTACTTTTTTAAATGAACAATAATATAAACTCTTCCTTTATTTGACTTCAGGCTGCAAATTCAAAGACATCCGCCGGAGTCTGGAGAGAGACGTTGGTAAGACGACATCTATCTTTACTGCTGCTTAAATAAATACTCAATATTAACACATGGAGTCAGGTATTCGGTACAGAAGAGCAAACATTGGATAAAGCCAGGTTCAAAATCCTTGTTTCATTTTGTTGACATATTGGGGTGTCAAACTCAAGGCCCGGGGGCCAAATCCGGCCCGCCACTTCATTTTATGTGGCCCTGCAAGAGCTTACAAAGAATATAATGAGTTTATTATAATGTTACGTTCCACTTTACAGGAGAACGTTGCCCATAAACTACATGTCCCACAATGCATCTCATTTTGTGACATGCGCAATGAAGAGACTTGCAATTATTTTCCCTTCTGCTTTCAGACGTAGTTAATTATGAAGTTATTACTGTATCCGATAATAATCCAATGAAGAGGCAATAATGTAAAATAATACATTATTGTATATTTTTCTATGTATTTTTATATAGTCTTAAAGTTACCACCGGCCCTTTGAGTGCAACTATAATTCTAATGTGGCCCGCGATGAAAAATTGAGTTTGACACCCCTGTATTAGAGTCAAACGTTTTAACCCTAACCCTCCTTGTATCACTCTAAATATGACTTTCTGCACGTTTTCAGTAATAAATTGTGTAAAGAAAACATGTTATGGAACCTAAGTAGCCTCTCAGTTGAGCAGTGCATGAGTTTTCTTGTTTTAACATCTCGTCTTCCTTGTTCTCAGAGGAGCTGCAGAGCCAGGGGGTGCAGGATGTGTTTGTTTTCTGCACCAGAGGAGAGCTGAGTAAGTACCGGGTTCCCTCCCTGCTGGAGGTGTACGGGCAGCGAGGTTTCACCGTGCATCACACGCCCTTCCCCGACGGAGAGGCACCGCTGATGGAGCTGAGCTGCAGGATCCTGGAGGAGCTGCAACTCAGCCTGCGGAGCAGCAGGAGGACCGTCATACAGTGAGTGAGAGCTGTCGACCAATCACAACAGAGCCGGCCAGCTAACCAATCAGAGCAGACTGGGCTCTGGTTTCAGACAGAGGGTGAAAAGAGATGCTGTAGCACAGGCAGTATGAGAACAATAAAGAGCTTTTTGAACATTAAAGCATGGAGACATGTCCCAGTAGAGACACTACATACTGATATACACCTGAACATCAGCAGGAGAGGACTCTTTAAAGTAGAGACACTACATACTGATATACACCTGAACATCAGCAGGAGAGGACTCTTTAAAGTAGGAGACAAAATAACAAAATGACAGTTTAATAAAAAAGTATTTAAAATCTTTTTTTTTGCAGAAAATGTTGTAATTCTGGGTAAATTGTTGGTCAGATGCATCTGATTTGAACTTGATCCGAGTACCAAGATGATAAAGCAAAAGTTTTTTGCAACACATTTAAATAATCTCTTATTAGAAAGAGAAATACAATGCAGATGAAATGCTTGTCATGTTAAATAAAGTGTTCAGGGAAATGGCCTGAAGACTACTTGTCCTTAAAAACCCTCCTGATGTCCCTGCAGCTATAAATAAGTGTCTTGACATAGAAAAAGTTCTGCATCAGAGTTCATTTTAGAACTGTTTATTTTGTGCAGCCTCACTGCCATCTTTTACTGGATCTTGACTGATGACTGAATGAGTAATGAGCCGACTGATGTTATCAACTAAAGAAATCCCAGTGTGACTCTTTAGGTTTCATGGGATTTTGCAGATTTCCCACCACATCCACATTCTTAACTATAATTAGGTACACACTGGCATTACAGAGAGTCTTTTCCCAAAACTGGACATATATCTGCTGGTTGGCACATGCAACTAAAACACAGCTGACAGTGCTGTAACATTCAGATTGAATAGAAAGTCAGTAACTTACTTCACCTTTCAAGAAAGTAAAAAATGAAATACTGCAGTCAACAAATCTCCATTACAAGTAAAAGTTATTTATTTAAAAGTACATACTTATTATCAACTAAATAAAAAAGTAAAAGTACTCAGTATGCAGAATGGCTCTTTTCACAGAATGCTATTACATTATTATTGAATATTATACTATTCTGTTATTGTCAAATACATAGGCTACATACAATATATGTAAGAAGAATTTAATGTTTGTCAATTTGAAGCTAATTCTATATTACTTTTGTAATACTGTGTAATAAATCCAGAGGGGACATACCAAGTAAATACATGTATTATAACAGGAATACATCGAAATACTCAAATAACAAGTGTAATTATAGTAGGCTACTTAATCACAAAACTTGAGTAAATGTACTTTCCACCACTTGAATCTGCTGCCACGTCATGCAACAGTAGGCCATATCAATAATGCAGAATCCGTTTTTTTTTGTTGCAAAAATGAAAACAGGTGCTTGCACTCACCTCTTGGGTTTATGGTTAATAATTCCCATAACGACCAGCTTCATTGAAGGCCGCATGCCTCCCTTTATCTCTCCGCTGTAGTTCCCCTGCCAAACAAAAGAGATGTTAGAAAGACATCTCACACAGGGAGAGGCCCACCGATCAAAATCACTTTTAATTTCGCATGCTATTGCTTCATCATGCAGCATGCTGGTATTTTAATCTGCAGAATAAAGCACAGCCACCGATGGGAACAAAAGCTCCATTGATGCACATATTTAACAGTGACTCAGCTGCACTAAACTGCCTGTATTTCCTCCAGTAAGCCACATATCCTACATTCAATAAATACTTTTTGCAGACATGTTATAACACGCATGCTACTGAGCTAAACCTGAGCTAAACACGTACATTTTCTTTCTTGTCCTGTTCTTCCATTCCACTCAGGGCGTGATGCAGTGTGGAGGTTTGCAGCCGTGATGCCAACTGAGACTCCGGATAATAGACCCCGCCTGCTCCACGTTGTCATAGAGACTGGCTCCCAAATTGGCATTGATAATGGAGGGGAGACAGGAAGGGGGATATATTACAGGCTGCAAATGCATGATGTGCCAATTCAATTATGATTATGTGGATGGAAAGTGGGCTAAAGAAGATTTTAAACACTGATGTGCACGAGTGGGTTCATCATTTTGCTGCATGTTAATGCTGCTTTGTTGCTGCTTTCAGTCTGCTGTGAGCGTGCTTCACATGTTGTATCGTACACAGCGTAACCTTCACCTGATGCTGCCTTCACTGGTCAAAGTAAACCTCGTAAACTGGCACTTTAATATTACTTCAGAAAGTACAATTTGACCCTGCCTGTAGATTCCTGTATCTTTCTCCTCCTTAAATAAAAGTAGAAGTACTCAAATATTTTACTTGAGTAAAAGTTGAATTACTCAGATCTTGTACTTGAGTAAAAGTAGAAGTACTCAGATCTTGTACTTGAGTAAAAATAGAAGTACTAGAGTGTAGGAATACTCTGTTACAAGTCAAAGTCCTGCATTCAAAATGTTACTCAAGTAAAAGTAGAAAAGTATTATCATCAAAATATAGTTAAAGTAGTGACAGTAAAAGTAGTCATTGTGCAGATTGGTCCATTTCAGAATAATATATATGATATGTTTTATAATGATTGACCATTAAAGTGCTATCAAAGCTGGTAAAGGTGCAGCTAGTTTAAATGACTTTGTATACTGCAGGGTAGCTTGTGGATTTACTCCAGGTGGAACTAAAGTCTGATTTAACACTCATTCATCCAGATCTGTAAAGTAACTAAAGGGATTAAATACATTTAGTGGAGTAAAAGTACACCATTTACCTCTGAACTGTAGTGGAGTAGAAGTACAAAGTAACTTAAAATGGAAATACTCAAGGAAAGTACAAGTACATCAAAATGGTACTTACGTACTGTACTTGAGTAAATGTACTTCCACCTATGCTTAAGTAAGATTTGAATGAAGGAATCTATACCTGTGATTTTAGCATTACACCTTTTACTCAAGTAAAATCACTTTTTTATCCTAATTCTATAACATTTAATACATTAAATAAAATGTAAAATATATTCTTCTACATACAGTGCATTTCTTCATACTCCTACCGACATCTGTTTGTCAAATTAAATAAAACTCAGATGTTATACACGGTTTGTTTTGTGTCCTCCTGTTTGGATAATGGTGTTTCCGACAGTCCCTAAAAGCAGCAGTAGCAGAAGAAAACGCCCACCTCGTGCCAACCGTTGACCAACCGGCGTTCGACAATCAGCTGGTCACATGACCTTCGCTAACATGCAGCTAGCCTCCTAGCACAACAGCAGAGATAGCAGGAGTGTAAATAGTCCTCCGTTTTGGGGCAAAACGACACAAAGAAATGAGTAAGTAACTTTATTAAATACTCGCTAACTTGTTCATGATGTGTGTGTGTTTCTAAAGTCTGTTACGGATGTTAGCTAACTTAATGTTTTGCATTCAGCCAGTCAGCAAGAATGTAAGCTAATGCTAATGCTATCCTGTGACATAAGACAGCTGTCAAATCTGAGAAGAAACGATATAAATATTGACATTTTAAAAGTGTATTTAACTAAATAGCGTAGTTAAAGTCACTACAGCAGCTCACTAGACATCTGTTATTATTGATGTTGTATCTTGCGTTATTTGTTTGCACAGGCAATTAAAGGTACAGATGAAAAATAAGACTGAAAAATGTGTCGATCGATGTGTTTTTTTATTGACTTTCAAAATCCTCTGTCTAGTTCAATAAAATGAGTTTCAAATATTCTATGCATAGGCTTACATTCTGTATTATGTGTGTCTGTCTCTGTAATCATGTATTACATTTAAAAAGCAAACCTATATTAGAGATGTTGAAACTGAAAGTGTCTAAAATATGTGTGTTTGTCAAACTCTGTATACATAAAGGTGTTAGGTAATGATGAAATATAATCAAGTATGCTGTAAAACATGTACTGACTGCATTACTGTAATACTTGGAGGACATGTAAAATCAAACACTACATACGTTGTATTGTTTACTTATACTGCCAAACAGGACTTATTGTGTGTAGAAGTATAAGGAAATACATTTGAAAGTAATCCAACTCCTAAAAGGAATCATACTTAATGAGTTTTAGAATCTGATTATCCAGAAACAACATCTTTCCTGTTTATTATTATTATATAAAAGGCAAAGATAAGCAGAGAACCAGCTCAATGTGATTTGAGAGGAGTGTGCATGTTTATGAAACAAAGGGTTAGGATAAAGAAATCATTGCATTTCTGTGAAGGGGCGGAAATCATACATTCATACATTTGAACTCCAGCCTAAACCCTTTAATGCTCTCTCAATATAGCTGCTATGTTGTTTTGTTTTCCACTGTGGTGTTGCGAGTATTTATTTGTAACCCTTGTGAATCAATATGATTTAACTGATTTTGGCATTTAATTTAATATATTTATATCATTATTATTTGTTCCTGTCCTTTATTGATCTGGTCTTTCTTCCCTAATTCTGTGCATGATTATTTGAGGACAAATAATTAACGATACAGTATATATAATTATTGACTTTAAAATCAAATAATCTATGCATTTGTAGCCAACCAAAAAACACCAATCAAACACATATTGATTGGCTTTAACGCTGTAAAACAAAACAAGAATAAAATGCATTAAAAGTGGGTTTATTTAAATTCTGTTTTTACTTCTAAAGAATAAAAGAGAGAGAAAAGGCCGTTTAGTATTTACAACAGTTTTTAAACGAGACCTTTTGAATTGCAAGTGCTTCAAATGGGGCCGGAGGTACCTTGGATTAAAGATTTTGAAGTGACTGTTATTTTGTATATATTGATTGTTGTGCTTTTATTTAGGTCTTAATGTGTGCAGATGTATAAATGTGTCTTTTGATTGTGTATATATAGGATATATATATTTGTATTTTTGTATTCTGGATTGTGGGAAACGGTATTTCGATCTCTCTGTCTGTTCACACAAACTGAAAGATTGACAATAAAGTTGACTTTGAAATTGTTCTTATTGTCTCAGCACTTTTTTCACCATTGTTATTACTTGTCTCTTTTTCAGGTGAACGAAGCTCGAGTCTCCCCCTGGGCTTCATGGCAGTGACGGAGCGTGTCCACTTGTGACGGCTGAGCGGATTGGAGGAGGGTCTCAGTGACAGTGGTCATGCATCCCTTCGGCTGCGAGGCGGAGACCTCCCTGCAGGAGCTGTTTGAGTATTTTAAGAGATGCCTGCAGCACGGGGAGTGGGAGCTGGCCAACGCCTGCGTCCCTCAGCTGGTCAGCTCCACGGGGGGGCTCTCAGAGAAACTGCGAGACATAATAAAAGCCATCGTCAGCCACCCGTACAACTTAAAGTGAGTCACAGTGCTGCTGCATGTTCATAACCACAAGACATAAGGGTGTTCCTTTTGTGTGAATTCTTTTTTTAAAATCTAAACACGAAGCACTTTTTCCTGGAGCATTGATGAGGGCGATATCATATAAACATTTAGCACGATCAAATACATTTAACTCAACTCATAAAAAGCACTTTTGAGCACTTTTTCCCGGCTCTTGCAGACATTTAAATGGAATTATAAAAACTATTTATTATTTTTTTTAAATAGACCTCCTATTGTTTACTATATAAGTGTATACAGTAATAATTTTACACTAGTGTAAAATGATAACATGTTTAAGAGCAAATGGTTTTTATTAGTCAGAATAAAAACATACATTTAAAAATGATCTTAAAGCCGATCCGGATTGATTTAATTCTGACACCCCTCGTTATTAGGCTTGCTAAAAACCCAAATATTACAATTGTGTGTATACTTGTTTGTTGGTGTTTATTTAATGACTATGTTTATTTTGCAGATGGGAGTCTGTGGGCAGTCCGCACAAACTGGCTTGGTTTTGGCTTCAGGTGTTGGAGAAATGGACAGACGAGCAGGTAACACTATACAAATATCAATATATATACAAATCAAGCTCTCTCTCTCTCTCTCTCTTTTGTTTTATTTGTTCATGTTAAACTAAAACTATATTTCTGGTATTTGAGTTATCTTATTTGGAAGTAAATCATTCTTGCAATCAGGAAATCTGTCTTGAAAATGTGCCCTGTGCTTTTTAAAAAGCAGACATGTCGTGAATATGAACGTTGTGAAAATACTCCTGAAACAGAATCCACACACTGACATGATGCATCTACTCACATGTTTACCACTGATGTAGAAACAAATATGAGAAAAGAGTAAGAGAGAGCTGCTGCTGTTTCTTTATTGGTTTATCAATTATTGATTCATGCTGTAAATGAGTTGCACTTTTAATATTTAGTGTTTTATTTTCCATTGATTATGGCATTTTTATCCCTTTCTTTTATGTTCATTGTCCTTAAGTTTGAAGCACTTCGAGCTGCATTTCTTGTATTTAAAGGGGACCTATCATGTAACGTGCACTTTTTGATGTCCCCGGTGTGTCGGGGAACTCACGCAGCGTCAGAAAATAAAACCCTCTCTCTTTTCCTCCGTACCCAAATCTCTAAAAACGGGGGAACAACGGAGCTGATCCAGATTTGCGTCCGATATGACGTCATATCTGAAATGTGGACCCACGGCCCAATCAGAAACGTTGCTATCAGAAACAATGCCCGACTGTTTTAGACGTAATATGGTCGGTGTTTACATTAGCATCGCTAACACTCAGAGCTAACCTGTACTGGAGAGCATGTGTAAAAGAGCAGGAAGTAAAAAGGAACTCACCTTGTGGTATAACCGGCAAGAGAGAAAGTCTTTGAGCTCCATACTGTTTCAGAGATAATCCTTGATGTGGTTTGGAACATGATGGCGTTTCATCCCGCATTTAGCTGAATCTGCCGTTTAATTCTGAGCAGGCACAAGCTCCCCCTCTTCCGCTAAGGACCCAGAATCAGCACTTTTCTAACAGGGCTGAAATAGAGGGGTATGAGGGATGTCTAAAATGCATGATATGTGCAAAACACATCATGGACATGTTTTTTATATATTTGTATATATCTGACACCTATAATATATGCCTTAACATATCATGATAGGAGATGTTTAAGTGATGAGAGCTTTGATCAGTGCAAACCCACAAACACTGTGTCGTCTTGTGTGTTCCAGCTGTTCAACGAGCTGCTTCAGGACCAGGGCCCCACTCTGGACCGCACCTCCTCTCACGTCAGCGGGATCAAGGAGCTGGCCCGCCGCTTCGCCCTCACCTTCGGCCTCGACCAGATCAAGACCAGAGAGGCGGTGGCCACGCTGCACAAGTAAGACCTGCATGAGATTAGAGAGACAGTATGTTCATCAGAGAGGGCAAAAGCACACACATCCTTTACTCAAGTAGAAGTACAGATACTCGTGTTTAAAAATACTCTGGTGAAAGTAGAAGTACTGACTAAACTTCTTT